GGTGCAGGTAGTTGGATCCCCACCAGTCACGTGAGACTCCTGGATGGAGGGCTACCTCCTGGCTTTGGCTGGCTGCCCAATCAGGGCACACGCTCTCTTTCCTTCTCTCTTTCGTCTTCATATTAAAGAGGGGGAAAAAAAATCCTTATTCTCAACAACATCCAGTCAATTCCCAGAGACTGAGGTGTGTCCCCGCCCCCATCACACTGGAATAAGCCTAGCTGACACCAACAGAACTGTCCTGTTGAGCCCCAACAAATCCAGGGCAGAATCATAAATATATAACAGGCTGTTGCTTTAAAAGCCATCAAGTTATTTATGTGGTTTGATGCAAAATGATTGCGTGGATGGATGTGGTCTACTTCTAGTGCTCACCGAGTTGTGCAGGGAATTCAATGAGGTGGTCTTCATGAAGGAACTTAATCAATTCTCAACATGCGGTGAAGCTTAAATCTGCATTCTAGGATGTGTCTCCTGTGGAGATCAAAACCATAAGCTCAGCCAAATTGACTATTCTAGAAATCGATTCCACCAGAACAGCCAACTAGCTGCTTTGTGGACCATATGTGGCACCACCTACGGAAGGCTGGGCTCTGCCTAAAACGTGCAGCAACCCCTTTTTAAAAGTTATAGAATGAACTTGGCACTGGAGAATGAGCTGGGAAGGGATATGTGAAGTTTGGTGGACATATGGTCATGGTCATTCACCTCCCAAATGCGAGGCCTCCCACAGCCAGCCTCTTCATGTCCTAAGAGAGGCAGAGTGTGCCCAGCTCCTTGGGGGACATACCAGCTCACAGACAACTGGGCCTGAAGTGGGAACAGATGGGCTCCGGGGACCAACCTCATGCCCACTGTGGAGCAGCTTAATGTGCCACATCGCCTGCAGGAAGTGTGGCGCTGCTTATCTCTGACAGAAATTCCAACTCAGAAGTGGTGCATAGATCTGGCACCGATATGTGCAAGGATTTTTTTTGCTGTCTTGTCATGGTAAAAAGCTAGAAAATGCCAGGATATTCACCAATAAGGGGTTGGTTGAAGCAAGTGGGACACTCACACCTGTACAAGCTCTTATGCAACTCCGAAAATTTATTCAGGAGGTGGATGCATGGTGAGTAAGGAGACCCCTGGGGTGCCACATTTCCTCTCAGAGTGCGTGGGTTCAAGTCCTGGCTCTGTTTCTGAACTAACTTCCTGCTAATTGTGCCCTGAGAAGCAGCAGGTGACATCTGGAGCAGTCTCAGTCACATTCATAGCGACACCTGGATTGCATTTTTAAATACTTCTTTTATTGAAAAGGTAGGTTTAAAGAGAGAGAAAGAGATAAAAATCTTCCATCCACTGACTCCCCAAGTGGCCACAGTGGTCAAAGCTGAGCAGATTTGAAGCTAAGATCCAGGGTTTCCCATGCAGGTACAGGATCCCAAGGCTTTGGGCCGTCCTCGACTGCTTTCCCAGGCCACATGCAGGGAGCTGGATGGGAAGTGGAGCAGCCAGGCCATGAACCTGCACCCATATGGAATGCTGGCGCATGCAAGGCGAGGACTTCAGTCACTAGGCTACCTTGTGGGGCCTGCCCTGGATTGAATTTCCCACTGCTGGCTTTTGACTGGCCCAGAGCCAGCTGCTGTGGGCATCTGGGCAGTAAAGCAGCAGGTGTAGGATTCCTGCTCTTCTTGCAGTTTCTCCATTTCTATTTTATCGAAATAAGTATTTTTAAGAGCAAGTTAAACCTAAGTCTTGTGAAGTAGAGGGATGTCTATGATGTATAGCTCAAAAAGAAAACTGCAGCAAGTGTGTGGTATAGTGATCGAGTTGTCACTGGGTATGCCTGCATCCCATACTGCAATACCAGATTCAAGTTGAGACTGCTCTGCCTCTTATCCAGCTTCCTGCTAACATGTGCTGTGAGAGGTGGCAGGTCATGGTGGCTCAAGTACCTGGGCCCGTGTCATCCATGTGGGAGACCACATTCTCCAAGCCTGGCTTCAACCCTGACCCAGGCCTGGGTAACTGCAAGTGAACTGACAGATGGAGGATTCCTCTTTGTTTCTCTCTCTCAAATAAGACAAAAGAAAATTTTTAAAAGATTTGTTTATTTTATTGAAAAAACAGATTTACAGAGAAGGAGGCGCAGAGAGAAAGATCTTCCATCTGGTGGTTCACACCCAAATGGCTGCAATGGCCAGACTAAGCCAATCTGAAACCAGGAGCCAGAAGCTTCTTCCCGGTCTCCCACAGGGTGCCATCTCACAGTGAAGCACAGAAGTCTCTTAACAAGAAATGCCCAGAAAAGATGGGGCCAGGAGTGGAGCTGGTGGGGACTGATCAGAAAGGAGGGGCAGGAACCACTCTGACCCCGAGTCTACAGTAACAGGAATGATGACATAATGCAACTTGACAATTAAAACTGGTGAACTGTGCAGTGTGTGGGCTACATGACAATCACAGTACAAAGGAAACGGAGAGTAATTTGAGATGGTCTCTTCTGTTCTAGAGGGGAACCCTCTAGCCTGAGAGCCCCTTTTACCTGATGTGGCAGTGGCCTCACCTTTCCTGTCCCTTCCATCTCTGCAGACCCAAGAGGCCATTGCCTGCCTGCAGCCCCTGTCCCCTGGTAGGGCCTTGATGGTCTTCCCAGCCTGGACTGCTGCAGAACAACAAGCCAGCCTATGACCAAGGGAGCGGTTAGCACAGGCAAGTGCAGAGCGGGAAGTCCTGGCTGCTTGAAGCCCTCAGGGTAGAACCTTTTGCTAAACTGAAGCTGGGACTGGAGAGGTCAGTTCAGCTCAGGTGGCAATAGGACCAGCCACTGGCTTCTCCACGGGAATTGTGATGAGGTGAAGTGACCTCTGACCAGTCTGGGAACTACATACAGATGGCTGTTGTTTTGCTTTGCTTAACCAGGGCCTGGGGTACCTATTAAAACAAACACAAAATCAGGAAGACAGGGCCTCGGGTGAAGCTGTTATCTACATGGGGGATCAATGAACTCTAGGGTCTTCAGAGCTGGTACTGAATACAGTAAGTCAGTTCCTACTAAAAGGTTAATTTGCAATCATCCAAGTAGGACAAAGAAACATCAACTGAGGGAGGGAAATTGAGACAGGGCCTGACAATGCCACAGCAGACATCGTACAGGGCATGGTTTTAGAATCAGGTGTTTGCCACATTTGGGCATAGCATCTGGCAGACAGACCCTAGAGTGAGTCTTCTATAGAGGCCCTTGGTGGTGGCCTACACTTGGTGGCTCACCCAATGACTCATGTTTCCTGGTATTTAACACCTATGAAGACTGTATGTAGACTGACCTTGCCCATGTAACCAAGGTCTCTGTAGGATGTTGATGAGCACGTTGTAAAAAGGCATGGTAAGCACTTGTTGCCAGAATTTCGTCCTTCTGAAATGTCCCCTCTTAGAACCAGCAATGAGGCTCTGTAAGCTGCCTGGCTCTTGGCTTCAGACCAACCTAGCTGCAACTGTTGTGGCTATTTGGGAAGTGAACCAGAGGATGAAAGATTGTCTCTCCTCTCTCTGTATACTCTCCCCTTCAAACAAAAAATAAACCATAAAAAAACGGAAAAATTACAGTTGCAGCTCTCAAACATCCAGCTCTAAACGGAGCATCACCTCCTTGGAAATAGGCTCTGGATAGATACTATACCCTGTGCTCTGGGGACCAGGAGCTACTGCCCTTAGGGACAGCCAGGCTCCCCAGGGAGCTACCACTGGATAGCAAACCTCAGCTGGTTGCAACTCACCCACTTCTGAGGAAGGAGACCAGCCCCCACACCCCAATCCTAAAAGTTTAAGGACAATTACGACTACCAATCCATTGTCACATGGTGCAACCTGTGAATGCTCTTGCATACCTGGGCCTTTGCAATCACTGTTGAGACCCACTTCCAGAGCAATGATTAAGGCCAGTCAAGGACTAGTCAAGGGTCCAGGCCAGAGTCGGGTCTGTCAAAACCCACAGCCATCTCACAAATCGGCTGTGCCCTCACATCCAAGCAGGGCAAGCCAGCTTCCTCCTCCTGGAGACACAAGGGCAGGTTTCCCGGTCACCTGTCCTAGTTAGGACACCTGCCTGTCGAAGGACCACAAGGAGGCAACCTAACCATGTGGTAGGTGGGTTACATGGCAGCTGGCCTGTCCCAGCTCAGTGGAAAGGGTTCTATAGTCCCTCAGGTGGGCCCTGCCTGACCACACACCCAAGCACAGCAGCTGTGAGGCATTTCTGAGAAAATTCAGAAATCCTGAGTTTAGGTTATTACTAGACCATCTCTAAAATGTGTCCATGTTGTTTCACAGTAATAGGGCACTGAGGTTATGTAAGAAAATACCCATGTTTGTTAAAGAGATGCATATCTTAGTAGGTAGTGGTGAAATTCTCTGGAATCTAGGATTTCCTCTAAAACACTTTAGCAGACAAATAGAAGGGTAAGTGAGGCAAATGTCACAGAATCCCACTCATTGCTGACTGTCAGGGGGACGGATTTTGTGACGTTCTCTGTGACTGGAATTTTTCATAATGAAAGTGAAGCAACTGCCTGAAGCCACCCTTTGCAACCCTGGTGCTTGCCGCTTTCATGCTATTTTATGTTGGCTTTAATTCATTCTGTGAAAAACAAAGAACTCTTAAAAGGCTGACACTCCCAGGAGGAAGGAAATGTTGCTGCCTGGCTTCACATGTGTGACAGAATGACACCAAGGCCAAGCTGCTTCCTGGGGACAGAACACCCACAGGTACTCAATGTGGTCCCCCCACAAGGAAGTCAAGGCTGGCTGCAAGCACAGCCCTCAAAAGAGAAGTTCTTAACTGGGGTGCCCGGGATCCCTGAGAACATACTGCCTGCCTTGCTTCTCAAGATGTTCAGAATGTCTGCCCGTAATCCAAGATCTAGAAGCACACAGAGTAGATGGATGCCACTGGCCATCAAAGGAAGGATTTTTATTTTAGCACACCCGATCATTATTTCATTAAGAAAAGCTTATTTTATTAAGAAAAGCTCTCACTGGATTAAAAAACAAACAAACAAAAAACTGGCTATTTCCCACTGCTACAGCCACCCTACAATCTGGTCCTGTAGACAAGGCAGACTCTGCCCATGGCCAGCTCTGCTGGCAGCAGCCGCCACCTTGACTCCTGCAGCCTGCTACTCCGGAGAACAGGGAGAGGCAGGGAAGGTGAACTGAATAGCAGGTGCCAATCACCTCCCACCCACAGCCCCTGCAGGGAGATACTGATGAGCAGAACAGGGTAAGTCATGTGTGGATCAAACCATTTAGTCTTTATTTCCCAACTGTGCCAAAGTTGAGTGAGAGGGGATGGCCCTGCAGGGCCCGGCCGCTCACCTGCATGTGGGGACAGCACACCCACAGGGCGATCAGTGGGATCCAGTGGGTCTCATCACCCCACGAAGGCAGACACAGGGCGCTCCTGGCCCTGCGCTCATCTTCAGCAGCGCACCGCTTTCCCATCCTGTGAGCTAGCATGGACAGGTCCCCTCCTTCCCACCCAGGTGCTCTGTGCCTCCAAGCTGCCCGTGACAGCAGGCAGCGGTCAGCCTCAGTCCGTGATGCTGGCTGGAGGCGGCTCTGAGAAGTGCTGGAGAGCAACTGAGCCTCAGGGCCATGCTGGTCCCTCTAGCCCCTGTGGGGAAGAGAGAAGGCTCCCGTGGGGACACCCAGAGTGCCCACAGTGCAGCGAGTAACCACAGGCAGTCTCTGCAGACCGCCCTCTGGCCCTTCACTCCTTGCTCAGCGCCGCAGCCTCAGGAAAAAGGCATGTTTACACTCTGTACTCTCCAGGGGGTAGTATTTATCATAGAAATCTAGAACATACTCCTCCGTCTTGAAGCCAAACTTCTGGTACAGCAGCATAGCAGGGTTGCTTGCTGAGACGTGAAGAGTCACATCCTTGCCCATGCAGGTCTGCCAAGAGAGTGGGAAAACATGAAGATGAGGCGGCCCGGGGGGAGACGAGTGGGTGGAGAAACCTGTCTCTGCGTGGGCAGTGAGTTCTGGAAACCAAGGTGGAAGCACAGCAACCCCTGGCCCCAGCAAGCAGCTGCAGAGCGGCGGGCTGCTGACCAAAGCAGTCACCGGGCAGGTGTGCAGCGTTGTGCCTCCAAGGCCTGCCTCCCAGCTCCTGGCCCCAGCTTCCTGCTAACAGCCATAATGGCTCCAATAATTGAGCAAGACCCGGACAGCACCCCCAGCTCTCAGCCCTGGCCCCTGTAGGCTTTTGGAATGAACCAGCAGATGGGAACACTGCCGAATTTTCTCTCTCTCTGCCTCTCAAATAAAACAAAACAAACAAACAAAAAAACTATGGGGGAAAAACAAAAGGCAAAGGAAACCGAAGGCATTTTTAGTGTTTCTTCTCTGAAGCAGAGTCTAGGGGTACATTTCATGTCAACTTCATTAGTGCCGCATGAGTTGGTTCTATCTATCAGAACCATGACAGCCCTGAAGAAACAGGGAAACTCTGCTTGTTTCAACTAGATGCTATTATGCACACTCCCAAAACGTGCAAAAATTTCCTTCTCAGATCTACCGGAAAAGAGGCTAGATTGTAAATACAGATAAGAGGTAGCAAGAATTTGATAATAAAATCTGAGGACAAGGGTGGGCACTCGGCTAGTAAAGACATCAGGTCCCACTGCCGTTTCTCAGAGCTGTGCCTGTGGTGGTTCAGGAGCAGCAGCATGCTTTGGGGTTTCACCTCTGCACTGTCACTCTGCTTATGTGTCACGAGGTTCACCAGCTGGTTTCTTTTAAAGCTGAGTCTGAGTAGCAATCTTCTGCTAGAGCCAGAGACTTCTGTCTGTGTCCTGTAGCAGCCTCCTGAACAGTGAGGATCCGCTGCCTTCCAGCTGGTCTCCAGGCAGCCCAGGCTACCAGGCCAGCTGCAGAGAGCTGCTACAGCTTCATTCTTCCTTGGCCTCTCCAAGCAGCCTGGAGGCAAGGTGACAGAGCCAGCTTACCTGGATGAGATGATAGATCATGAATGTCGCAATCCCTGCTCTTCTCCACTCGGGGTGGACAAACAGAAAGGAGATATAGGCTTCGTTGTACTTCACGTCAGGAACCATGAAGCCAAAGGCAATGATGACTTTCTTATAAAGGACAACCACGCTGAAGTCTGGATACTGCAGGCACTCAGACAGGTCGATGCCTAAAGGGGAGAGACCAATAGGCAGTCAAGCCCTGTGCCTCTGGGGGTCACCGATACCAAGTCATTCTGGCTTCACTTAGGGCTGCCCCTGCATGCTGAACAAAAACCCAAATGGGAAGCCATGATTATCACCAGAGACGACACAGTCAGATCACAGGAAACACCAAAATTAACTTAGTCCAAGTACTTCTGGTAAAAGCATAGCAGAGTGCACACAGGCTCCGGCACCCAGGACTCTGGGCCATCTTGGCACCTTCCAAAGGCCTCGAGGCTCTGCGGGGTAGGAGCACCCCTAATGCTGACAGAGTTGGGGTAAAGGCCCTGAGAGTGCTCACGTCGCCCTCTCCGCACCTCAACCATCTCTCCATGACGCCTGGACAACGGAGCAGGCACAGCTCCCAGCCTGATGAGGTCTTAGCTCCCACCCACGTGGAACAGCATGCACTACCACCTGGTGGTTTCCAAACAAGGCCAGAAAGCAGACTTACACTTAGCAGCTAGCATGTGTAGTTTTACCTGATGGCTCTGACTTTAATTTCACTCTCAAAAAAGGCTGTGTTTGGGGTATTAGGCTTTTATGTATTCATTTTTAAGATTTATTTTACTTCTTATTTGAAAGGCAGAGTTCCAGGGAGAAGGAGAGACAGAGAGAGAGGTCTTCCATCCATTAGTTCACTCCCCAAATGGCTGTAATGACTTGAACTGAGTCAATCCAAAGCCAGGAGCCAGGAGCCTCTTGTGGGTCTCCCACACAGGTTCAGGGTCCCAAGGACTTGGACCATCCTCCTCCACTGCTTTCCCAGGCCACAAGCAGGGAGCTGGATGGGAAATGGAGCAGCCAGAACACAAATCGGTGCCCATATGTGATGCTGGCAAAGGCTTTTAGACTACTATGCCACTGCACCGGCCCCACTGGTTGTTAGGCTATTTAAAAATATCCTTTGGCCAAACTAACACTATCCAAGGAGCAGTTAAACAAACAAAACATAAGGGATTTTTAGGCCAAAAATAAGTGTTCAAACTTGCCCAAGTTACCAGTCTGTGTATCTTTGATAGACATTACCTGGTATCTAAACATACGAAGAAGCAAGACCGGATGAATCTTTCACTCAGAAAGCAGAGACAAACAGGGACGAGAAACAAACAAAAACACTGCTCATTATAGTAATTGCTGTCTCCTTTTTGATCTTAGGAAGCAAGAAGTATTTATGTTCCAGCCCTTCTATGTTAATAGAAACAAACTAAATGACATGCTCTGTGCCAAGGCCTTGGGATTTCGAGGCAGACACTAATTTAAAAATTACTGGGGTGAGTCACACACAAACGGATCTGGGTGGGGGGACATACCAGGCCAGAAAAACTCGTGACACATAGAGTTGATGGTTGGGATGTGATTTGGCCGGACGTAGCAGTAATCAAGAGGTGCATCGGGCTCGGGTGTCCAGTCCAGGTCACTCCTGTGCAGGTGGGAGCGGATCTGTGACAGAAGCTGCAGCTTGGGTGGCTTTGTCTCATAATCACGCCTTCAGGACCCCAGAAGACAAACAAATTCAAGTCAATAAAAACACTCAGTGTTATGTCTAGCTCCTTAACTCAGTCAGATCTTTCATCACTTCAAGCTTTACACTAATCTGCACTGCTTGACACGGTGGTGCACCTGGCAGTGTACAAAATCTAACACACACTCTAGTGACCGTCCCCGGGTCAAACCCCTGTGTGCCCACTAGGTACGCTGCCAGGAACTGCTGAGTCTGAACAAAATGGGAAGTGAATGGCCCCAGGGTTTACTAGGAGGAGAGTGCACGGGGTGGCATCTCCGGGGCTATGGGGGACCTCAGGTGGGAGCCACAGCGGCAAGGGGAGACAGACTGGCAAGCTGCCTCCCAACATGCTTGCCCAGGAACCTGGTGCGGGACAGGCAGGCCAGGGCGACTGCAGACTTGCAGGGTAAGCGTGGCACAAGACAGAAAGTGCGCTCTCAGTCATGGGATCCAGCACTGCAGCTGCCATCCGACTGCCTGGACAGGACTCGGGATTGGAAATGGTTCGCTGGCCAAAAACGAGATCAACTGAGACATCTTTCCCATTTTTTCATTTCATGGAATATTAAAAATACACACTTTAAATGGAAAATAGAACAATGGTTATGATGAACACAGAAACGTAACAGTTCATTCAGTATTACTGTTTGTATTTTTCAAGGAACCATGTTTTATGCAAAACGGTGTATCTGAAACAAAGGATACAATCTGACAGCGTGCGGACTAGCTGGTCAGTCTTGTGCGGGTTTTGGAATTTCTCCACTCCAGCTACAGAAATTGCAGACCTGATGGCCCACCTCACTTCTGGTCACCTGATATAAGGCTTCAAGATCCGGGAAGTGTACGGGCTGATGATACTCTGGTCCACAGCCATATCTTCCGACCCCACTAGGCGATACAAGAACTTGGTGGTCTGGTGCCGGAACCCCTTCCTGGATGGCAAGGCAGTCTATGAGAAAGAAACAAGACATGTCAGGAGACAGTCAATTTCCATATATAATTAGCAACTGTGACATTTTATGTGTCGGCAAGTGGATTTCGCTCTTTGTATGGCTTATTTGGAAAGCTCAGGTTTCAATACAAATGTTCGTAGGTACTTTTGTGTAAAAGATATGAATAGCCCAAGCTGTAAAGCTGGAAACTAGTTTTTTTTTTTTAAACAATTCTGCAGTTAAACATTTTAAGTTATATAAGTTCATGAGACAAGGTGCTGAACGTGGACTTGCAGCTTTTCTGGCCTTCATTTCTTCTACATTAAGCCCACTTGCTCAGTAATGACATAGGTGACACACACTCATATATGGGTCGCACATCACATGACTTCTTTTTATTTTTTGTAGGTATCTTTTTTTATAAATTTATTTTTTAAAATAATCTCACTTAGTTGATTAGGGTACAAAGGGTCAAAGGTTATAGGAAAGTGGGTAATACCATTGTTTTCACACTAATATCATTTTTTCCCCTGTATCTGGGGTCAGGGGAGAAACAAAGGGAAAATCACATGACTTCTGTTAGTCGACAGCACAGGGACCAGTCACTGTCCGTCCTGTCATTTCCACATGAGGTGTATTTTCATTCCCACAGTGACTCCCAATACAGAAGCCCTGCAGAGACTCAAAGAGAAGGGGGTCCAGCAACACCTGGGGAGACATTGTGGACCTGGTCCCATGCCCCAGGAGCAGGATTGGAGATGCTGCTCTACGGGTGCTGCTCCAGGACCTTGCTCACACAGGGACACAACACATGCTATCAAGGCTGTGCAGTGAACAGCTCGGGTGAATGAGGAAAGGCACATTTATGAAGTGATTTGCTGAGAGCTGGATGAAGTACAGAAACTGGAGTTGTTCTTGTAGAATCAGTTAGTAGGCTAGAAAATGAGCTTGGTAAAAGAAGAGAAAGATGCCTTCCTGTATAATTTGCTTTCATATCTCCCCAAATTGGAAACCAAAATTTTCAAAGGCGAACCTTGATCTCCCTTCATGGCTTAACTAAGATTCAAAGTAATAGTCAAAACTGTGACACAGTTCTCAAAGGGGCTCCTATCAGGTCTTCCCATCCTTGAACAGGGAAGTGGCTCCTTGTATCAAAAGGCAGCCAGCAAGTGCTGGGACTGGGGACAAGTCCTGTCAGGCTAAACTGTAGTATCACCTGAAAAGTGCAAGATCCAGGTCTGGGAGTGGAGCTCGCATGGTAATTGTGGGCACCCCTGAAGCTTCCACTGGTGAGCATGAACACCAGGCCTGGGGATGGGCCTGGCTGGATAGGCAGTGGCATTCGTCAGTGTGAGGGTGGGCTGGACAGTGGGGTTGGTCAGAATGAGCTAGGCTGAAGCACCCTTAAGTGCATACAAGAACAAATGGGATGTGCGGCAGACCAGACAAGGCTGCTGCGCATACTGAAATGGGAAGGAACCAGGGCTGAGGGCAGGTCTGGAGGGTTATTGGAGGTTGATCTAAATAGACTGTAGTTCCCACTGGTGTGTGTGAGGGCTGAGTCTGTGGTGGGCAAGATTAGTCTTGCGGGGGAAAGGGGGCAGTATCCATTAATTTGTGTATGAAATGGGGTTGAGGACAGAACTGACCAGATGACTGCAACCACCAGTGTATGTAAGGCTGCTGTGGGTGACTGACCCCACACTGGTTGGCAAACACAGAACTCAGCTCTGGGGTCCCCTCAGGTGAGGTTTCTTTCAGGAGCCCCTTCAACTGGACTGCTGGACTCAAAATTCCAATCACAGTGAAAATTACAGGATTTGTCATCTCACCAAGGATTGCAAGTGTCAGACTTGGGCCTCCTTGGTTGCTGAAGTCTAGGCAGTGGCCAGATGCAAATGGAGGACATGATAGCTCGAGGCCTAGAGAGGATGTTTAGTACCATGGCAGAGGATGGAGAGCAGAACAAATTTTTGACAATTCTCCCAGCTAAGCTTTGACAGTGAGTAAGTATCTGGGCAAGTGGAGACTCTAAGGTAGATTATGTCAGCCAATGGTACTTGGAAGGATTTCATCAACCTTGGAGCAATGAAATCCACATCTTAGAACTACTGAAACCTGGCTTCAGCTGTTGTGTGCATCTGGGGAGTGAGATCTTTTTCTGTCTCAAATACCGATTTAAAACATGATTAAAACACACATTTCCTTTCCTCACCCACCATCACTCTGTGGCTTTCACAGTATGCTCAGGATACAAGTGAGTCTCACTGAGGACCTACAGTGTCCTGAGGGTGTAGTCCCTGCCCCTTACCTCCACTACCCTCACTGGGCCTCAGAAGTACCCCACCCACTGCCTGCCTCTGCTCCCTCTACCTTCATTGGACCTCATAAGTGCCCCATCCACTGCCTGCCTCTGCTCCCTCTACCTTCATTGGACCTCATAAGTGCCCCACCCACTGCCTGTCCCTCACACCTCTGCTCCAAGTCTTCATCAGCTGGTACCTCCAGGTGACTCAGTGAATTCAAGCGCTGCCTCCAGGGACAGCGTCCACCTAACTTCCTGGCAACCTGCCCCTACTCCACCATTGGTTCCTCCCACCACAGCCCTTGGTCCCCAGGGGCAGGAACCGTCTGTCTAACTCATGGCAGAAGCTGCAGTCACCTTAGTGGCTGGCACACCTTAAGGGCTCAATTTACATCTGCTGAACGACACATCCCAAAGTCAAGGAAGCATGAAAAATGTTAGACTGGTGTCTTCAAACTTCTAGCTGTTGGCTCTCTTCGTAAACGCACCAGGATGATGCCACAGACAAGAAGGGAGGGGACAGAAGCTGGGAGAAGGCTCAGGAATGTGCCAGTATGATGGGAAGAGCAACTGGGCCAGCGGTCTCCAGGGCTTCCTGAGTGAGGAGGTTCCTTGGCTGTGAGAAAAGGCAAGGATGAGAGGTAGCTGAGTCCAGAGCCTCCTCTTCTGGGAAAATCAGCTTAGAATCAGGACAGCTGGATGATAGAGAGCTTCCCCTCACTGACATTACACAGGGTCTACTCTAATAAAGTTCCTTTTACCTAGATGGTAATAGTTGCTTCTAAGAAAGAATTACAAGGCACACTAAAAGCAAAACCAAAACACAAAACAACAATAAAAACAGTTTGAAGACAGACAGCAAGTATTAGGACCAGACTCAAATATGGCAGAGATATTGGAATTATTAGCTATTTAAAATAATTGGAATTTGAGCCCAGCATGGTGGCCTAACAGCTAAAGTCCTTGCCTTGAATGCACCAGGATCCCATATGGGCGCCGGTTCTAATCCTGGCAGCTCCACTCCCATCCAGCTCCCTGCTTGTGGCCTGGGAAAGCAGTCGAGGATGGCCCAAAGCCTTGGGACCCTGCACCTGCATGGGAGTCGTGGAAGAAGTTCCTGGCTCCTGGGTTGGGATTAGCACAGCACTGGCTGTTGTGGTCATTTGGGGAGTGAATCATCAGACAGAAGATCTTCCTCTCCTCCTCTCCTTCTCTCTGTATTTCTAACTTTGCAATAAAAATAAGTAAATATTAAAAATAAAATAAAATTGGAATTTAAGTACATCAGGGGTTCTAACAGACAAAGTAGACAACATGCAAAAAAGAATAGTAAGAAACAATCAACAAGAAATTCTGAAGCTCAAAGACATGGTGAGAGAAACAAAAGGCTGAAGCCGCTGGTGACAGCTTTTAGTAGACAGGCCACAGCAGAGCAAAGAGTGTCTGAGCTTATCAGCAGGGCGTCTTAAGTGAAATGCAAAGAGAGGAAAGACTGGGGCGTCTGTGTGTGCAATGTTATACAACAGAATACTTAAGGACTACGGTACAAGTATAAAAGATGTATCATGCATTGTAGGCCTACTACAAGAATACAGGAAGAGGGACAAGTGCCGTAGCATAAGACTAAGTCTCCACTGTTTATTTTTTTTAAAGATTTATTGGGCCCAGCGCAAAGACTCAATGGCCAGTATCCATTATGGGTGCCAGTTCAAGTACTGGTTACTCCACTTCCCATTCATCTCTCTGCTATGGCCTGGGAAGGAAGTAGAGGATGGCCTAAACCCTTGGAACCTTGGACCAACGTGGGACACCAGTAAGACTCTCCTGGTTCCTGGTTTCAGATCAGTTCAGTTCTTACCATTGTGCCATTACAGCAATTTGGGGAGTGAACCAGTAGATGAAGATCTTTCTGTCTTTCCTTCTATCCATAAATCTGATATAAATAAATATTATATTATTTTTATTAGAAAGTCAGATATATAGAAAGGAAGGAAGACAGAGAAGAAGATTTTCAATCTGTTGAGTCACTCCCGAAGCAGCCACAACAGCCAGGGCTTCACCGAACCGAAGCCAGGAGCCCGGAGCCTCTTCTGAGTCTTCCACACAGGTGCAGGGTCCCAAGGCTTTGGGCTATCCTAGACTGCTTTCCCAGGCCACAAACAGGGTGCTAGATGAGAAGCTGGGCCACTGGGATACGAATCAGTGTCCATATGGGATTTCTGGCGAGTTCAAGGCGAGGACTTCAGTCGCTAGATTATTGCACTGGGTCCAAAAATAAATAAATTTTTAAAATTATTTATTTCTATCAGAAAGGCAGATTTATGGAGAGAATAAGAGACAGAAAGATCTTCCATCACTCCCCTAATGACAGCAATGGTTGGAACTGAGCTGATTTGAAGCCAGGAGCTTCTTCTGGGTCTCCCTCATAGCTGCAGAGTCCCAAGGTCCTGAACCAGACTTTGCTGCTTTCCCAAGCCACAAGTTGGGAGTTGGATGTGAGGCACAGCAGCCAGGACACAAGACAAAGGCCATATGAGATCTCGGTGCTTACAAAGGGAGGATTAGCCAACAACTGAGCCATCGCACAGGGCCCAAGCCTCCACCTTCAGTCTGGGATCCCATATGGGTGCCAGTTTAAGTACCGTGTGTTCTACTTTTGATCAGATCCCTGCTATGGTAAGGGTAAGCAGCAGAGGACAGTCCAAACCCTTGGGAGCCTGTATCCATGTGGGAGACTTGGAAGAAGCTCCTGGTTCCCAGCTTCAGATCAGCTCACCTCTTGCCATCGTGGTCATTTGGGGAGTGAATCAGTAAATTGGGGTGTGTGTGTGTGTTCTCTGTCTTTCAAATAGATATAAATACACACATAAATATTAAAGAAGAAGAAGAAATACAGGAAGAAGTAAAACAAATGCAAAGTCAAACTGATGAGAATTTCAAGCAGCTAATGGAGTTAGGCAGCCAACCCCAGAACCAGAGAACAGCGGAAAGGATAGAGGTCAGGAAACCTCAGAGCCATCTCCAACCAGAACAGCTGTGAGACCAGACCAGGAGCGTCAAAGCCAATACAAAGGATGAAACCGAAGAGCAAAAGTGACAAGCTTCCAGGAGAGGGGTTATAAACCAAGGGGCCACCCATAAAGAAATGAGACTAAGACTGACCTGGGGGCACTCACAAGCAACGCTTCACAGAAATCCCGATGGGGAACAACACTGTTTTACACAGCACACGAAGCAGTAGCAAATGGCTTAGATGGTGGGTCTGTAGATCAGCACAACACAGCTGCAAGAGGATGCATCAGGGGAGACACGGGGCCAGCATCCAGCATGGGCAGCAGGACCATGGGACATGAGGCTCAGCACTGCTGTCCCTGGGCAAAGAAGGCTTGAGAGAGGGAGAGACTCCTGGGTCCCCTGCTCGGCAGACGAGGTAACACTCTCCAGGTATCAAAATTGACAGGAGACAGAAGAAAAAGACAAGGAAAAGGATCTCCCAGGAGCAGAGGTCTTGGCCAAAGTGCCCCTGTCCTTCTTGAGAACTAGGTCTCACAGGGACACAACCACACCATCACAACCACAGAGCTAGGGGGCCATCACGCAGTGCAAGCTTAGCACAGCCTCACACCTTCCTCATGGGGCCCTGGCCATGGAAAGCCTAACCCACCTCTGGCCTACAGAGCCCCAAATCCAAGTAGCAGAACTCTAAAAAAGATGACAGAGCAAACAGAAGACAGGAAATCACCAACACCTTCCAGAACTCCAGTGCAAAAGGCCCCCCACAACAGAGGAAAGAAGCCCCACAAAGAGACCCCTACAGCGCCTCCAGAACACGGTAAGCTGTGCATATGCCAACAGGGCCATTCACCGATGGCCTAACCACCAACAACCAGGAAGCCATTCCAACCTCACCTGCATCTCAGCAAGGCAAATCAAACCCACCAATCAGCAACACTCACAAAGGCTGGGTGCACCATGCACTGGTGCACCGCTTTGGGGTGGGCAGACGCTGACAGGCCACAGTGGGATTAACAACTGCGGGGAGCGCTCCCAGAAGCTGTGTTAGGCCGAAGAGCGCTCTGGGTTGTGCTGCCTCTGCAGCTGTCACTTCCTGTGCCCCAACTCCACAAGTGTCACCCACCTGCAGATCCCAACAGCACCAGCTTTGGTCACTGCACAACCTCTACTAATCTGTCAACCAAAGCTGTGACGCCTGTCGGATACAGCTGCCCTCAGAGACGGAGATGCACAGAGGAGCTGCAGCTCAGCTCATGGTGTCTGTGGAAAATAACAGCCTGATGTCCCAGGCACACTGGCCTCCCTCCCTGGCTCCTTGTTCCCCTGACCTCGGCTGCCACAGCAGAGCACGCGGGGCTCACCTGGTAGCGGTCGAGGATGCGGAAGTCCTGACAGGTGGTGCGGTATGTGGCTGGCCCAGCTGGGAGCCTGGAAACGCCTCCTTCTTTGGCTCCATAAATGCCATCCACGAGCAGGAGGGCAGCGTTCACGACCTGGTCCAGGTCAAACAGCGGCAAGCCCCGGTCCCTTTTGGCCTGCCGGACAATCAGCTTGCGCTTCAGCCTCCGGGCTTCGGGCGTCATGGCCACGGCAGTGGGGCAGGCTTCCAGCCGCCGCAGCAGCAGCTTCTCCTCGTAGATGCTCACGGGCGTGTACTTGGGGCCGGTGGGCTTCGTGTCCTTGTCCGGCGGGGGCTTGCGCTTCTCCCGAGCCCGCGTCGGCACAGACGTGTTGGACTCCGTGTCCTCGCTGTCGAGCTCCATCCTGTCGGGCTTCTCCTCCTCGCTCTCCACCTCCTGCTTTATCTGCTCCAGCCCGCGGACCTTCCTCCTGCCTCCCGCGGAGGCAGAACCCGCAGGGGGCGGGATGTACTCCATGCCGGGGTCGATGACGCCATCGCCCTCCATCTCCTCGTCATCTGTGCAGGGCACACCCCGGCCATGAGGACACGGAGCCCTCGAGCTGACAACACCCACACTGCACCATGCCCCCCACCAAGCTAGACACACACACACACCCAAAAGACACGAGCACGTGAAGTCTCACCGTGGAACAAGGCTTGCGGGGGCATCACGTCGGGGATGAGGTCAGCCTCGGAGAGCAGGCTGGGCGTCGCTGAGTGGGAGGCAGGGGTGCCGGGGGCGGAGAAGTCCAAGGACGGGGAGGGTGATGGGCTGGTGAGCGGCGTGCGGTCTGAGGAGCTCAGGGAGGAGAAGTCGATCACCTCCCCTTTCTCGAGGAGCATGTCTGGCCGGCGGCTCCGGCTAAGGAACTTGACCGGGGTGGAGGAGGTGCTCCTGTCCAGGAAGCCGGCGGCCTCCTTCTGGGCTCGTCTGATGTCTTTGGCTTCCTGAGTTCGCGACCTTTTCTCTTTTAACTCCATGGCCGATTCCACGGGGTTCCGACTGGCACGTTTCCGAAGGCCCTCCACAGTAATGATGGGATCTAAGGTGGGCTTTGAGGCTGCCCGGAGAGATCGAACACCACAGTCACTACTGGATTTGTCTCCACCAGCTTCTCACTGAGCCTAGCGCTCTGTTCCACGTGGAGAAAGGCTCAATAAATCTCCTCAATGTTTAAGTGAATTATATAGCTCTCTAAAAAGTTGTGCAATGGATATGCCCTTCCACACAACAGCTGTCTGCCAAAATTTAGCACAAACTTGCACAGGTACCCACATCTGTACAACTGCAACACTGTTGAGAATAACAACAACAAAATGGCACAAACCACCCAAACTGTCACTACGGGACTGGCTTCAATAATGCACTGGATAAAACAGGGTGGCTCTGCGTGCATTACTGAGAGGAGTCTGTGGTATGCAGTAGGGGCTTCTTACCAACAAGTACCTACATGCTGAGGAGCCTTCCTAAGAGGCTGAACGCTCAGCCTGGGGAGACAAACTGTACGACGACGGCAGGAAGGGAAACTTCCAGACACTAGATTCCACACTAGTTCATTTCTTACTAATTACATTCAAAATTGTTAAAACTCATTAAAAACTTACAAGGAAAACTATCAATGTGTGAGAATAAGGAATTACTGTTGATGTTTTAGCTGTGCAAATGGCATGTGATTAGGCTGCCTCAAGGGAAGAATCCCTAGCTCTTAGATTTAACACTGAAATATTTAAAACAGAATATCGGTGGGGATGGCACAGTGGTGTAACAGGCCAACGCCACCCTGTAGTGTGGGCATGCCATATGGGTACTGGTTCAGGTCTCATTCTGATCCAGCTCCCAGCTTATGATATGGAAAAACAGCAGAAGATAGTTGAGGTTTTCGGGTCCCTGCACCCACATGGAAGACCTAGAGGAAGATCCTGGCTTTGGATAGGCTGAACTCTGGCCATTGTAACCATCTGGGGAGTAAACCAGCAGATGGAATATCTGCATGTCCTCTCTATAAATCTGCCTTTCCAATAAAAATTAATAATAATAGTAAAATCTTGGCAGGGCCAATGCTGTGGCTCAACTGACCAATCCTCTACCTGTAGGCACTAGCTCCCCAAATGGGTACAGATTCTAATCCCTTCCCATCCAGCTCCCTGCTTAAGGCCTGGGAAGTCAGCAGAAGACGGCTCAGGTCCTTGGACCCTGTACCCACATGGGAGACCTGGAAGAAGCTCCTGGCTCCAGCTTGGGATCAGTCCAGCTCCAACTACTGTGGCCATCTGAGGAGTGAAACAGCAGATGGAAGACCTCTATCTCTCCTTCTCTCTGTAAATCTGCTTTTCCAATAAATAAATCTTAAAAAAAAAAAGAGTATAAAGTTATGCATTTAGTACAAGAATTCTACAAACCTTAAAAATTTCAGAATACTCTTACCAAACACTGGAAGAGCAAGAGAACAGCATGTGTTTCAATGTCATACTGTGTCATTTAAAAATGGTGCCCGGGATTTGTTTCTTGGTTATCAGAGTATGGGACTGGTGGAAAGCCAAAGCAAAGTACTGTAGTACAGCTAAAAGGAGTGTGTGGGAGTGAACAGCTAAGGGGAAAGACACTTTGCCAGACAGGACTCTGTGTGCTAAAATGTCCATGATGAAAAGTTTAAAAACAAAATCAGGACTGGAAACACTGAAGCTACCAGACACCAAAGCAAACAGACCACAGCAGTCAGGTGGTTGGGAATGGCAGTACTCTCTACACGGCACATGTGGCGATGCTGGCAAGCAGACCGAGGTGTCTGTCTGACAGCTGTGGCCCAGTAGGGTGTGGACAGTCAGTGCTGCCTCCCCAGCTGGCCCTGGCTGCACCCTGGCTGCTCCCCACCCGCCGGCACCTTTGACTTTCAGAGTAGAGGCAGACAGCTTCTCTCCTTCAGGTTTCATCGTCGGGGGTTTGTTGTGAACAAGTTTCCACCATCCTGGCTCTCCAAACTCCTGAGCCCCTGACCGGAAGTACATGGGACTCCCCACACTGAGGCAACCTGCCACTGTGCTCCACCAGGTCGAAGTCTTTTTCCTAAAAGGTGCGAGAATGAACAACAGTTGGCTTGTTGACTGGATGCCCCCCGCAAGGTGCACTGCACCTGCACTCCGACTCATAGCCTGCAGTCCCTCCAGCTTCCTCAGTTTCCTCACCTATAAAATGAGAACACTGCACTCCACTGGGCAGCTGCAAGGACTTACATGAAAACCCAAAGCACATGAAACACATACCATAACTATGATTAAGTCTATAATTACTTAGTTCTTTTACATGTGAATTAAGCACAGATCTCAAGAAATGCCAGCGACATGGCATAGCAACCTAAGCCTCTGCCTGCAGTACCATTATCTATATGGGCACCAGTTTGAGTCCTGGCTGCTCCACTTCCAATCCAGCTCCTTGATAATGGCCTGGTAAAGCAGCAAAGGATTAAAAGTCTCTGTGTCCCTGCATCCACGTGGGAGACCCGGAAAGAAGCTCCTGGCTTTGGATAGGCCCAATTTCAGCCACCGGAGCCATTCAGGAGAGTTAATTAGTGGACGAAAGATCTGTCTTTGCTCTCTCTCTGTAACTACGACTTTGAAATAAAAAATAATTCTTAAAAAAAACTCCAACAAGTGTAATTGTGAGAATGTGCATTTTGTAATATAAGCTAAGCACTTGCCCCACAAGCAGTTCAGCGGACTCTCATCCACTCCTAACTGCAAGTATTGCAGTGAGCTTTAGACCACCTGCAGGTTTCCTGCGCAGAGCAAAGACAGCAAAACAAAACGTGAAGAGTCAACTATCCTCACTCCTCCTGCTGCACACTGCTTTAAAGGCAGCTATCCTGTTTCCACCCAGAAAGCACACACACACGACTTGCAGGTCTCAAGTCTTTGAGGAAAAGGACATACTGACAGTTGGAAAATCCTGCTGTGACACTCTTCATCTGTGAGGGTCACTTCTCCAAGGTCCTTCCTGGAATTGCTTTAATACACTTCACTAAACATCCTTGAAGTTTACACATGCTGTGGCATGTGCCAGACCCTCACTGCTTTTTAAGGACAATGTTCCATCGTGTGGCCAGGCCACTTTGTTAGTGGACTCTTGGGCTGTTTCCACATTTAGCTGTTGTGCATAAAGCTGCTCTTAGGGTGTCCAAATAGCTCTTCAACACCCTACTGTCAGTTAGGTGCAGTATATACCCAGAAATGGAATTAACAGAGCATATGGGAATTGTATTTTTCATATTTTCAGGAACCACCGCAATGGTTATGATTTTACATTCCCATTAACAGTTTCTAGTTTCTCCATATTTTTGTAAATAGCTGTTTCAGGGTTCTTTGAAGGATTTATTGAAAGGGATAGCACTGTGGCCGTGCTTTACACCCTGTGTCACCAGCATCTTAGGAGCCCTTTGAGTCAGAATTCAGCTCCCTATTAACATACCTGGGAAAGCAGCCGGAGTTGGCTTGGGACCATGACAGATCTCTCCATATCACCTCCCTCTCTCTTCAGGATTTATTTATTATTTTAAAATCAGAGTTGGAAAGAGACCTTCTATCCTCTGTGTCCCTCCCCAAATGGCCACAATGGCTAGGGCTGGGCCAGGTCAAGGTTGGAAGCCAGGAACATCTTCCTGGTCCCCCTGTGTATGGCAGGGGCCCAAGCACAAGTCATCTTTTGCTGAACTCCCGGGTGAATTAGCAGGAAGTTGGATGTGAAGTGCAACAGCTGGAACACAGATTGGCACCACATGGGGTGCCAGCATCACAGGAGGTGGGTTTTCTCCCTCTGCCACTATGACAGGCCATTTCTGTATTCTCGTTGGAAAGCTATCTATTCAATCCCTTTACCCAGTTTGACAGAGGGAGGTGCAAGGGCAATGCCTGTTGCCGGTTTGCATTTGTGTGAGAAGTGGCAGCCAGAGCACAAATCCCTAGCTTGTGGGTGATCCTCAGGCTGAGTGTCAGCTGGTCCAGGAACAGCCGCCAGTTCCTGTGCTGGATCTGCAGGAATTATGGGGATCGGGTGGTAAAACAGGCCAAGAGTAATGTGATCTACTATCCAAGCTTTCCCCGGGAGATTGCAAGCTTCTATCCAGAGCTCCAAAACAGCTAGAGACAGATCCTGCTGGGGCGGCTGCTGTTGGGGTGGGGTGGGGTGGAGGATGGGAGACACTCCTGCTGCTTTTCACTCAGACCCTTCCTGGGCACAGCTTGGTGAAGCGAAAATACAATGAATGTGTTCTACTACATGCCATCACATCTGAAAGCTATTCAGATGTTCTCTTTAATGGATACACAAAAATTTACCAACCAACTAAATTATGACACAAACTGTGTGATATATCCAGCTCAGAGATGCCAAAAAATTTGAAAAAAAAATCTTAAAATCAGTAAAATATGCTAGTAGAAAAGGCATTCAAGGTATTCTTCACCAATCAAAACTATAAAACTAGGACTGAGAAAGCAGATTAACTGACCACATGTTGAGTGGCAATTAGTCTGTAGTAATTAAGTCTTCTTGTACTTTTTAGTATCTAGGATGACATAAATTTAGGTTAGCACTAAATAAGGTTAGTCTTAAATAAGCCTTTAGATTTAAATTTCAAGCTGCTGACAAATATTCGAGAGAAAAGGTATTCAAATTTAGAACTTTATATACAGATTATTTTTTCAGATCCTTCAACCATGAAAGTTATAATCATTTTTAAAAACTTAAAGCCTGTCCTGTGGATAGCAGAATTTAAATTTCTCAGGTACTCCAAAACTTTTGGGCTGCTCCTCTGGCTGTGGGAGGCCTGTGTCTCCAAGGAGACACCAACGCAGGATGACCCTGGGAGGGCAGTGCCTGGGGCCAAACCAACCACCATGGTTTCCAACAGGAACCACCTGGCCTTCTCCACATGGTCGCCACATCTGTGTATTCCTGAGTCTGATGTTAGGCCCGCAGCAGCCACCAAAGAGGAAGGTCGGTGGCCATAGCCAGCACTGCCACGAAGCACTCTGAGCAGCACCCAAGACAGCCGGCCTCACAGAGCAATGAGAACAGGTGCTGACAACACACGCTGCTCTTCAGGCGTGTCCAAATGCTGCAACCAGTATCTGCTATTCATTTGCCTCTTCCGCTCTAACAAACTGATTTTACCAGTACAAAATAGCCCCATCTCCTCAAAGTAAATAATCACCTAACTCTTGAGCAGCTCTTTCTCCATTTAATCAAATGCTTTCTCACTTTGTAACAGTCTAAGACTATCTTAAAAATATCCTGCTTAGTAAAAACCCATATTTTCTCTCTGCAAGCACTATGGGAGATGGACAGAATCCACACTTCCACTCTGGCTCATTACAAACTAGTTGTTTGAACCTGAAGTGAAAACATTTTCTGAAATTCCAAAAGCGTCTGTAAGTGTCACAAGTAAAAGGGAGCTACATCAGCTGTCTCATACCTCACACACTTTGTTATTTACATTTTTCTTCAAATGTAGGAAAAAAAAAAACTAAAAAAGATTTCCTTGAAGTACCACGTGCCAGAGAGGGAGCAACAAAAATCTTCTATTCACTGCTTTACTCACAATGGGTCACGTAGATGTCAGGAGCCAGGAACTCCATCCCAGTCTCCTTTTGGGGGTGGCAGGGACCCTGATAGTCAGGCCATCTTCTCCTGCCTTCCCAGGAACATTAGCAAGAAGCTGGGTTGGAAGTAGAGCAGGGACTGCTGGCGTTTCAAGCGGCAGATTAACTCACTGTGCCACAGCACCAGCTCCAAGTATAAGCTTTTTAAAAAATAATTTATTTGAAAGGTTGACAGATACAAAAAGAGACATGTACAAGCTGTACACTGGCAACCTGACTACCTGACACAAAGGGAGAACACACCTGCTGGTCCTCTCTCCAAATGCCCAGCCAAGCTGAAGCCAGGGAGTCGGCGCTTCTCCCAACTCTCCCCATGTTCCAAGGACCCAAGGACTGGAGCAGGACACACATCAGCAGGAAGCTGTACTAGCACCAGACTTGCACTAGAATTCAGCAAGCACTCTTGACCACAGCACTAATCGCCCACCTCCAGGGTTAAGATGTTTTAGCAAGCACTTTACCTATTCCCTAGTAAAAACGTCCAATGTTTCTCAATGAAAGCGCAAATGTCTTCTTTCCATCTGAAATAGCCTTGCCGTCCACTTCCTTCCAGGGACAAGTTATACATGGCCAGCATGACGACCTGAAACAGACCAGCAGGGCTGGGAGGGCAGCGTGACCACAAGCCCCGTCCGAGGGAGACACCGCTTGTTTCATGTTCTGAGGAGGAAGGAGTATGCACAAGGGAAGGACACTGTCTTGGACTTCTGATACAATCTCACCTCACACCCTTCCTGACTCCCATCAGATGTCACTCACCCGCTCACTCCCATGCACCGTTCCTCTGGGCCAACCTCTTACGGGATCACAACAGGCTGGCCATGGGCCCAGGCCCCAGCATGCTCTTGCCCTGTGCTAGCTACCAGCCAGCAGGAGGTCCCAGACGCCTACTTGCTAAATATTCTGAAATTCACATTGAGCACATGGATTTGCCTGTTTTGGAGAACATGGCTCTCTGAATGTCACGGTCGACGGCCATGCTGCGTGCCATCTACTAGAGGACTGGGCCATTTTTAGCTGAGGAACCCACTGCTCAAGTGAAATGAGCTTGCTGCTCAGCCTCGTCCCCAGCGGTTTCCCCAGACTCCCTTCCCTGCAGCTCAGGGAAAACTCCCTAATCCAACTGTATAAACTTACAGATGAGGAACTCATGGCCCCAGAGGAGGAGACATATTCCAGAACACTGTGTTTGCACATGCTTATTATAAAAGACTTCAGGAATACAGAAAACAACAAAGAGAAAAGCAAACGTCATTTGCAATCTACCATCAAGAAACCACCCCTTTCAACACGTCAGTGACTCTCTGCAGACATTCCTCCTGGCGGCTGGATTCTGTCTTACTCATGTGACTTCAGGTAAGTGGACAAAACTATAGCAGCTATTGAAAAACTGCTTCCAATGAAGTAAGCATCATGGTTGACACTGGGTCCCCTTTGGTGGGACAGGCATCCTTCAGTTCCTTTGCAGCCACCTGCCACAGCTGCTGTTAGTCTAGCCAGCTGCTGTGACATCCCAGGACCTGCCCTCACAGCACGAAATCTCAGCAGCCCACTGAGGAGACTGGTGACTTTACTGCTTAGAGCAGGTGCCAGGTGTTTTCCATTCACTGGGGCACCGGGTCTGTATCAGCCCGCAGATGCCAACCTTCAGACAGGTGATATGCATGAGGTGTTACTGCCTAAGGGGTTGGGAGTTTCAGCTAGGCAACAAAGTTCTGGAAACAAATGGATGGCGGGGAGGTTTACACAACAACGTGCACTTGACTCTACTGCAGTGTACACCAAAATGGTAAATTTCATTGTTATGTGTATTTCACAAGTTTTAAAAGAGTATTGCTCAACGAAGGCTGTAAGAAAAGTACAGAATGACCTCTGTCTACGTTCAGACGTCCAGAGTGGCTCAGAACCATGTATGTGCTGCTAATCTCAGGGGCTGGGCTATGCTGTTACAGCCAGCATCTCATGTATTTACCTCCGTGCATCTGAGGTATTTTATGACTTAAGAACTTAAAATTCACATACAAAGATATTTCAAAAAGCTCATGGAAAAGCAATTAAAACATGAGTTTATTCTGGTGAAAAAAAGCTTAAGATCTAGGCCGTGTTTTTTAACTTTGACTTCTGGCTTCTCCTTGCATAGATTCCAGGTTGCCTAGATCTTACACACACTTTGAGAAAAACACCCCCATCACAATATCTGATGGACGTAGGGACCACGGGTGAGAGCCCGGCACTCACCTGCTGCCATGTCAGCTTCAGCCGTTCGTACTGCTCCTTGCCGTCTGCTGAGCAATCTGAGCAAGTGAACCTAAAAAAATTGTCCCCCTTCAGGTAACTGAGCTGCTCCCTCAGCTGACCTAGAAGAACAGAAGGTCACATTACAGGTACATCCGGGGCGGCAGCACCCCAAGGTACTCCCAGGTTCCCCAGGCTGGAAGCAGGCAGGGCGTAGAGGAAGACCGTCTTCTAACACCCAGCGTACACCCTCTAGGATCGGTGGCCCCTTGGGTTTCAGGAGAGAGGTACTGGAAAAGCTGGTATTATTGCTCTAACCGGCTTTTCCAAATGTCAAATTCCTGACTCCTATGGGCAGGTCTTTTCACACATTCTTTGAAAACAAAACCAAACCAAAACTAGCACCCATAGCATGCCAGGGAACCCAAGGAGGAACCAGGAATGTAAGGTGCAGACAGACACGGGACCTGCCCTTTTCCACTCACAAATCTGTGGCAGGGACATGTAGGAGAAAAAAGGTGAGCACCACAGCAAGGAAGGTCTCCACGCTCACTGGGCCTCACAGTCACCCGGAGCTGCTTGCTCTAAACATGCCTGGGGCTACGGCAGACAGAAAGAATCCACCTTTGCCACCGGGCCCAGGCCTCTACATTCCTAATGGTTCTTGGGTGACTGCCAAGAGGAGAGTGATGTGGTCCACAGGAAGGTGGGACCCAGGGACGCTGCAGGGGGGGGCCAAGAAGCTGCCCAGGGAAGAGGTGAACCCATCCAGGGTGGGAACCGTACAGGTGCATACACACACCTTACAGGGGATGCAAAACCAGGCCAAGTCCTAGAGACATGAAAGAAGTGCTTGTGCAGATGAACAGCTCTCCCACACTGCAAAGTTTGTTTGTGGGGACAGAGAACCCAAGGCCGGCATGGTGGCCTGGCCTGGGGGTGCTTAGACAATCTTCTGGTGAGGCCCTGGACACTCGGCAGGACCTGGGATTACTAAGCAGAATCAGCCTGTGGTAACGGTACTTCCAGGCTTGCGTTCTGTGAAAACGCTACCATGAACTAATCACCAGAACAGCTGAACCCATTTTAACAAAGAAATTACCAAATACCAGAAAATGACCCACTTTCTTTCTCTCTCTCTTTCTCTCTCTCTCTCTACCCACACACACACACACACACACGGGTACTTCAACAGTCAAGGAAAATGGAACTGAAACAAAGCGGTTCTGAGATCCAGGCATAGCTTTTCCAGAATTTGAATTTCTCTTAACTTTTGGAAGACCCTTCATAAATATAAATGTTTTGGTTATGTATTGTTTCTGAAGCATTCCTCCAGTCCACACATCATTTCTAGTGTCTTACCCAATGGAAAAATCACGGTTTGGTACAAATCACATGATGGGTGGCACACTGAAGACTGAAGTGTGGAGCATGCGCGTCTGTCCCCTGCCAGGAGATGGAGGAGCCAGCATGGTGGGAGACAAGACCCACCCCAGAAAGGGGCAAAGGGGTACCTGCCCTTCCACCTGCTCAATGTTAACCCGTGCTATACAGCAACTGCAGTTTCCACATCAGTTAAATGTTGCTGGTTCCGCTTCTGATCCTGTTCCTTACTAACTGCCTGGGAAAAGCAGAGAAGATGGCTCCGTGTCTGGGCCCCTGCCACCACATGAGAGATGGGAAGGAGCTCCTGGTTCCTGGCTCTGGCCTGGCCCAGGCCTGGCTGCCACTCAGGAGTGAGCTTCTCTTGCTGCATGTCTGTTAGAAAATCAATAAATAAATCTTCAACTCTAAATCAATAAATCTAGAACAGGATTAAAGTTTTGTTCCAAATGTTACAAAAATGTGGCTAATTCTTTAACAGCATTTCTAATCTTCAAAAAAATTTTTTTAAAAAGATTTATCTATTTTGATTGAAAAGGCAGATTTACAGAGACATGGAGAGACAGAAAGATCTTCCACCTGCCACTCCCCAAATGGCTACAACGGCTGGAGCTGAGCTGATCTGAAGCCAGGAGCCAGAAGCTTCCTCCTGGTCTCCAAGGCTTTGGGCCAGCATCGACTGCTTTCCCAGGCCACAAGCAGGGAGTTGAAAGGAAGTGGATGGGATCCCAGCACATGCAAGGTGAATACTTTAGCCAATAGGCTATCATGCTGGGCCCTAATTTTCAAATCTGTATTGGGTTACTAGTAGGAATGCTAATTTAGGGCCCAGCATTGTGGCATGGTAAATAAAGATGCCTCCTGTAGTGCCAGCATCCCACATGCCCAGGAAAGTAGCAATGGATAGCCCTACTCCTTTGGACCCTGCACCCACATGGGAGACCTGGAAAATGCTCCTGGCTCAGGGCTGGCCCATTCCCAGCCACTGCGACTGTTTGGGGAGTGAAACAGCAGACAGAAGATCAATCTTCTCTCTGTCACTCTGCCTTTCAAATAAATAAAATCAAATCTTTCAAAACAATGTTAATTTAACAATGTGTAAGTCATTGATGCTTTTTATTAATTCAAAGGCATCAATGTTTTAGGGAAGTTTACTCCTTCGTGGAGGTGTATTTTACATTCATGCTTCTTCCACAGATTAGAAAAAGAAACCCTGACCCAGGAATAGACAACGAGACGGAAGAGAGAAGCTCCTTACTAGCTGGTATCCATTTCTGGCACTTGTCGCAGAAATAGGACAGCTGCTCTTCCATCCATGACACATCTCCCTCATCACTGTTGAGGGAGTCGCCACTCTGGTCGTGAGAGAGGTCCACGGAGGCCTGATCCTCTGACTCCACAATCAGCAGCGTCTCCCCCTCTACCTCCCCTTCCTCCAGCCCTTCTGAGGTTGATGTCCTCGTGGCCTCATCATCGTGCCGGCTCAGCAAACTGCCCAGGGGCATGCTGCTCTCCATCTCTCCCTCTCACAGGTTTTGGAGAGCTGCTGAGCAGCAGGCCACGGCTCTGCACGCTGCACTGGTGCTGGCAGTGAGGCTTCCAGCACATCACATAGACCAACTCCCCATCAGAACTTCCAGCTGCATCACAGAGACCAACTCCCTGCCGGAGCGCCTGCAGCAGCCTGGTGCCAGCAGGAGCAGTCTTCTCAGCAACGATGTGGATCGCCAACCTGCTGGCGTCTCCTGGGCAAGTTTACCAGGACAATGGCCGAGCAGGAGTCTCCAGCTTGTTACCCATCAACACACAGACGCACAGCAAGAGCAATATCCCATGACAGTTCACGTTCACTTCCAATCACGTATCCTTAGAGCCTTGTTCCAGCAAAATCTTCTGTCTCTCAGCTTCAAGTTGCTCAGTCAAAATAATCTGCTCTCTCAGAAGACGAATGTTTTCTTTTTTCCGGTTCTGCCTCTCGATGTCTCGGATCACTCCGTCACGTAGCCTCTGCAAACGCAGGAAGCACATTTCAGTAATGCCCTGCCACATGTCCCCAAACTTGGGCCATTCAGATCCACCTAAGAGCGTTCCCAAAACACACTTCCAGCTCTCAGATTCTAAATACCCAATCATGATTCTAACTTTCAGCAATAACGCAAAATCTAATGAAGTTTACTATAATGTCAATATTGAAAATTTAAAGCAAAATAACAAAACAAAACAAAACAAAACTAAAAACCCTAGGACCATGCCGCGTCTAAAAAGTTTAACCAACATGATATTTTAGAAGTTTGATGTGTTGCTATAGTACCACTGTGGATCACTTTCCTGTTAGCAAGCACCCCAACTGAACCATAAACTCCAGAAGAAAGAAAAACTACTAAATCTCAACAAACTATTAAGGATATAAGAACCAACCAACTCTTCTAGTAAGAAAAGTGGAACAGTAAAAATAATATAAGATTACTAAGTTACATAACAGAGAGAAAAGAAAAGGGGAAAAAAAGGAACACTGCAAGTGGAGAGAAAAATAGAAGGAATGCAGTCGTTCTGTAGTGCAGCCGGTTAAGCCACAGCCTGTGACATCCACATGCCACGTCAGAGTGCCGAGTCCCAGCTGCTCCACTCTGCACCCAGCTCCTGCAGATGTGCCTGCTAAGGCAGCAGAGGATGGCCCCTGAGGTATGGAAGCTCTCTCTTTCAAAATCAGTAAATCTTTAAAAATCTTTAAAAATAATTTTTAAAAATATATATGGAATGCTTCACAAATTTGTGTGTATTCCTTGTGCAGGGGCCATGCTAATCTTCTCTGTATTGTTCCAATCTTAGTATATGTGCTACTTAAGCAAACACAAAAAACAATTTTATTTTAAAAAAGTCCTTCAAGTTATCTTGAAAAGCACTAAGGAGACAAGTAAGGAATCCCAGAACATGGACCTGGTACCCAAGGTGGGAGTTTTGAAAGCACCAACTCAGCATCATCCATAACTAACATGTTTTAGTTTATTGCTCACAGAATCCTCCAGGAGGTTTTTAACGTCAAGCTTAGAAGGCAGAAAAATGAGACAGGGGTTGGGAGTTGGGTGCATTTATTTTTTTAGAAAATGGCTGTGTCTTTTCAAACCTCATGCAGTACTGCCCTGCTGGGCCTCTTCCAGGCCTGGAACTTCTCCTGTAGCTCTGGTGCCCGAGGAGCCCTGGGATGGGTAACTTGCTCAGATTCTTGGAAGCATCTGAGTCAAAACAAAGCTGTGGTTCCAGCCCTCCACCCCAGAAGCCTTCATGCACATGCACGCACACACTTGCCTCACTACAACCACCACGCCGCCACCAATAGCTCATGCAGGCTCTGCTCCTTTGATGAGAACTAAGGTCCTGCTTCCACCCACCAATGGGTCTCCTTCCTTCAAGTAAGAGGGCTCCCACAGCCATCCGGGGACTTCCCCTCTCTTCCCCCTTACAGCTCTGGCTCCTGGGGTTGCACTCCTTGGCTTCTGCTAGGTCACAGTGAGGGCTGAACGTGGTCTGGATCAAGTGCATGCAGCACCTGGTGTGCAGCAGACAACCAGTCAGTCATCATTTAGTGTCTCACCTCCTCGTGCCTTCTGACGTACCTACCATGCCAATCTGCTCCTGCTCTTTGCCACTGCCCCCTAGGTCAGCCCCTGGGGAAGAGGCGTTCTTAGTCCAGTGGTCAAGATGCCCACCTTCCTGCTCAATGCCAGCTTCCTGTCAACAAGGACCATGGCAGGGAGCAGGACAGCTCAAGTAAATACTTTCCTGCCATTTTCATAGTGCCTTTGTAGGCCAGGTGGGGCGTCAACCAGCAGATGAGAATATTGCCTGCACCACAAATACATGGATTAACAAAACAACAAGGGGCTGGTGTGATGGCAAAACAGGCTAATCCTCTGGCTGCAGCACCAGCATCTCATCTGGATATCAGATCATGCCCTGACCACTCCACTTCCCATCCAGTTTCCTATTAATGGTGTGGGAAAGCAGCAGAGGACGGCTCAAACCCTTGGGACCCTGCACCCATATGGGAGACCTGAAGGATGCTCCTGCCTCCTGGCTTCAGACTGGCGAGCACTGGCTGTTGTGCTCACTTGGCGAGTGAATCACTGGACTGAAGATATTTCTGTCTCTCCTCCTCTCTACATATATCTGACTTTGCAATAAAAATAAATAAATCTTAAAAAAAATCATTTACTTAAAAAAAAATTTTTTTAATTTTTATTGGAAAAGCATTTACAGAGAAGGACAGACCGACAAGAGCTTCCAACTACTGGTTCACTCCCCAAGTGGATGCAATGGCCGGAGCTGAGTCAATCTGAAGTCAGGGGCTAGGATATTTTCCAGGTCTCCCATGTGGGTGTGTTACCAGAAACGCCGGTGGGTTCTTTCCTCAGCTTAGTATAGAAATAAAAAGCCGGGAATCTGTTGCAGACAGAAAAGTTTATTTCCGAAGGGACCAGGTCAGCAGCGAAGGTAGCGGGAAGGGGAAGGCACCGCCCCCCCCCCAAGAGAAAGCCAGGAGGTGGGGTGCCTCTAAGAGACACCAAAGATTTGAGGAAGGGTCTTGGGATTTTAAGCATTCCCTGACCCCTCCTTGTTGGGCGGGGAACGTACAGGTAAGATGTTCCCCATTGGTGGTCTCTTAATTAATTGGAAAATGGGTGGGCAATGCTGGTGCCGCCCACCTAAAGGTGTGGCCAAGACCTCAGCAGGCCTAGAAGGTTTCAGATGCAGATGCATGGTCTCAAGCTTTGGGCCATCCTCCGCTGCCTTCCCAGACCACAAGCAGGGAGCTGGGTGGGAAGTGGAGCCACCGGGACACGAACCAGTGTCCATATGGGATGTTGGCTCTTGCAAAGTGAGGATTTAGCCACGGGATCAATACAGTGCCCCACTTCCACGCTGGGCAAACGAAGCTCAACCCGTCAAGGTGTTTTAAAGCTCACTAACGTTCCCCCTGAAACCTTCAACACGGCTGCTCATTATCCACAGACTCTGGAACCGCTGTTTCCCATCTGGATCCCCCAAGTGCCTAGAAGGACACCTTAAGCACACAGCGACCTAAGGCTGCAAACTGAAATACAAAAGCCAGGCGGGCGAGAGCCGGCAGAAGGCCAGTCGAGGCTGGCCTCTCCATCGACCCCGGAAGCTACAGATCCCACAGCCAACTCTTCCCACAGATCTCACCCATCCACCTCGGCCAAAGGCCAGCCGGGCGCGGCGCGGGAGAAAAGCCGCCAGGGTTTACCCCGACCTCAGGCAAAGGGCCAGCAGCCGGCTGCCCCTTCCCGCCCTTGCTGTCCGGCGGCACAAGGACAAGGCGACAAGGAGCCGAGCGCGATCCGGGGCGGGCAGCCGGCTCAGCCCGCGGCCCCCGAGCGGCCCCAGCCCAGCAGGGACCGAGAGGAGCTCCGGGTGGACCCCGACGACCACCACCCCACAGCACCGCAGGCCACCGCGCGCGGGCCCCGGAAGACACGGTCACGTGACGCCGACCTGCTGGTCCCACTGCTGCTTCAGGTGCACGCCGGTCACCGTGGCCGCCGTCAGCAGCACCGAGAGGCCCAGCACCACCTTGGAGCTCCTGGACATCCCCGAGCCGGCCGCCTCGGCCTCCACCCGCCCTCACGGGCACCGGGCAGAGACCACCACCGTCCAGCCACGCGCCGCTGGCCGCCCGGGCCAGGCTCGACCTCTCGAGCGCAGAGCGCCCGCCCGCCGCGTGTGTCGCCCGCTGCCGCCAGGCGCGAGCAATCGAGAGCCGAGCCGCGAGCGGCGTCGCCGTGCAGCGGACGGGGTCTTGGGACCCGAGGGTCACCTTGGCGTTCCGGGCGGGAGGCAAGGTTAGAGCACCCTACCAGGGTGGGGGTGTCTGAGAGGGTCTTTGTCCTGTCCCTACCACAGGCAGCGGAAAGGGGGTCTCCTGTGGGTGCGGAATCCTTGCCCTTCTGGGTGGCTGATTGACCCACTCAGCCCTTCAGAGGCGCGCGAGTGGCGTCCTCGTGGGGTTTTGTTGTTGTTGTTGTGTTTTGATTCTTTTGCCTCATGAACTGTTGTTACCTTGCTGTGGGCGACTGGTCAGCACGGCGGGTCTCACCGTCTGAAGCCTCTGGCCGCGGAGCCCTGAGGCGGGGGGCCCTTGTCCACCTGGCCGGGGACAGGAGGATGGAATGAGGGTGTGCTTTAGGCACAGCCCGAGGAACAGGGCGAGGCGTCAGGGCCCCTTCGCCCTGGTGCCAAAAGAGGCATTCCAGAAACTGAGCAACCCATAGGACAGCCTGGGAAGAAATGTTCATCTTTCCTGCTGGAGTCCCCAGAATGAGCCTCTGGCTGCAGAGCCGGCCACGGACAGTGCTGATCAGAGCTGCAGCTTGCTTAGCCGCCTCAGCCCCTGGCTTCTCCAGCCTCTGGTTCCTGGTACTTCGCTGTGGCCACCTCCTGCGTGTAGGCATAAATGGCACAAGGTGAACATCGTCCAGAAAACTGTAATAGAATAGGGCCGGTGGTGGGGCACGGTGGCCTGGAAGAGCACATTCATGTCCCAACGGCTCCACTAGCTCCCTGCTAATACACTGGAACAGCACCATGGTGACCCAAGTGTTTGGGTCCCAGCACCCACGTGGGATACTGGATGAAGCTCCTGACTTCAGACTGGACCGATGCTGGCTGTTAAAGCCATCTGGGGATTGAACCAGCAGATGGGAGATCTTGCTTTCTGCCTCTCATGTAAATAAGTCTTTATTTTAAAAGCCTCTGGGATTCCTGCATCCCAGGACCTTCACATATGACCCAGCTTCCTGCTGATATACATCCGAGGAGGCTGCAGGTGGTTCCCAAGTGTGGGTACCTGCCTCCCACATGGGGATTCAGGAGGAGTCTGGCTGCTGATTTGTGAAAGACTCACGCCTCTCTCTCTCATTGTGTCTCTCCCTGACTTTCAAGTACATGACATTAAGTAGAAAGGAAGGAAGAAAAATATTGGGGTCAGCATTAGGGTACAGTGGGTTAAACCACTGTTCTGTGACACTGATAGCCCATCCTAAAGTGCTGGTTTCAGTTTAGACTCTGCCTTCAAGCCAGCTGCCTGCTAGAAGGCAGTGGAAGATGACTCAGGTTTGTGGGCTTTGGCTGCCATTGTGGGTAGAGAAGGATGGAGTTCCTGGCTCCTGGCTTGCTTGCAGCCACCTGGTGCCTGATCCAGCAGATCTTCAGCTTCCCCCTCACCCCCTCGTGGCCCTCTCCCTCACTGTCTTACTCTGCTGCTGTGATAGAATGAAGCTCCCCTTTCCAAGTGTGGTTTGTGGTGATCTGTGAGGAGGCACTGTGTTGAAAATGAAGTTCTGGTCTGATAATCTTGGGAGTAAGAAGCAGTTTATTTTCTCTAGAGAAATAAAATGCACACTGGTATTCTACTAAGCTGCTTTTGACTTGTGATAGAGCCTGCATTCCTCCCCTTGTACATCAAGGAGACTTCAACAAGGTTCTTAGAAGGACCATCAGGGAACTCAATGGCCTTTCCTTCTATTGTGACTAATTTTCCATTTCTTGAAATACATTCTGCTTAAGAAAGAAAAGATTCGTTGTTTGAAATAAGAGAGAAGACATCTTTGCTGGTCCGTGTCCACACTGCGCCTGGTGGAAGCTAAAAGTGAGACGTTCCATCTAGGTGGCAGAACCAAGGACTTGGGCTGTCACCTCCCAGGCGCTTCAGCGGGTGGCTGGGTCAGATGCACAGGCAGGACTCAATCCCAGGCACTCCAATGGGAGATGCTGGTGTCCCAAGCAGCAGCCTGATCTACTGTGCCACAGCCCACCCAAAATGCTGCTTTTATTTAAAAAATTTCTTCATGTGTTAACTTGTCAAAGTAGTAGATTATCTGTTTAAATATTAAAAAAAAAAAAACCCAGCAGGATGTTTAATGTGATTGTTGCCACTTAATTTTACCGTGACGGGAGTGACTGCATGTTATCACACATTAAAAAGCAACTGTTTTTTTTTTTTCCTGCATTCAAATAATTTCTATCTAGTCGAGTACATTTCTCAGCAAATGCAGTACATTTGAATAGAAGCAGTTTTCTGGAGCAGCTCAAAGAGCTTCTACGAAACACATTTCAAAAAGCAAAGTCTAGACTTGCTCATCAGCTCTTTTCAGAGGTTGATTACATTCATTCTGTCAGCAAGCCCTAAATGTAGCAGCAACAGTGGATTTAAGGTAGCTGCCATTCCTCAAGCTGCTCAGTGCATCCACAGAAGGCCAACCGATACACCGAATGAGACACTTGATGATAGCAAAAGTGGCATTTGTTCAAGTGCGTGTGTTGTAGAAACCTGAACTCCTAAAAGCAATGGCATAAGGAGGTGGAAGCTTGGAGAAGTGATTGCATTTAGATAATGTCTGGAAGTCGAAGCCTCATGGTAGGATTTGAGCCCCTTAAAAAATTATTTATTTTTTCTTGAAAGGTAGAGCTATGGAGAGAGAATAAAAGAGGGAGAGGTCTTCTCTCTACTGGTTCACTCCCCAGATGGCTGCAGTGACCAAAGCTGGGCCAGTCCAAAGCCAGGAACCTAGAGCTTCCTCAGCATGGGTGCAGGCACCCAAGGACTTGAGGCATCCTCTGCCACCTTCCCTAGCCATAGGGAGCTGGATGGAAAGTAGAACAAGTGACACCTATATGGGTGCCAGCTCGGCAGGTGCAGTTTTAGCCAACCCCAGGATTAGTGTTCTTTGAAGAAGAGAACATTCATTCCCTCTGCTTTAGGAGAACACAGCAAGAAGGTGATCCATGCCACACAGAGCCCTCACCGGGACCAGCATGGCCAGCTCCCTGATCTCAGATCTCCTGGGCCTCCAAAACTGAGGTGTGTGTGACCCAGTATCACACAGGAGAGGATCCCAGATCCCTCTCTCTGCCAGAACCTTTCAGCAGCTCTCCTCTAAGTGCCGGGTGGACTTGAATTCCTTCCTGTGCTGAGTCACCAGCAATGCCCAGTAAATGCCAAAGTCCTGTTTAAACATCGGAGGCCCCAGGTGAGAGGTGCTTCTAAAATGATGACAAAGGCTGATACAGGTAGAACTTCCATAGGAGGAAGTCTTATAAGTCAGTCCTCTGATTGATAGGCGAGGCTAAAAATAAATCAGTTCTGGGCAGTCATTTGGCGCAATGGTTCTGAGATGGTACATGGAACACTGCATCCCATGTGGGAGTGGTTTCTTTCCAAGTTTGCCTTCCTGCTGCTGCTGTGCACCCTGGCAGGCAGCACGTAATGGCTCAAGGACTTGGGACCCTGTGGCCTGTATGGAAGACTTAGAGTGAATTCCAAGTTCCTGGTTTTAGCCTCTGCCTAGGCTGTTGCTGAAATTTGGGGATTGAATCTGTACATTCTCTGTCTTGCCCATCTTTCTCTCTCATTGCCTTTCAAATAAAATGAAAATAACAGGATAAAAATATAGAAGAAATCACTTCATAACAATAGCAAGGAACATGTGCAGGCACTGGGTATCCTTTCAAGTTGGTTTTTTTTTTATCATATAATTTCATGTTCACAAAGATCCCATAAAGTAAGGAATATTATCACCCCCATTTGACAGGGGAAATAACTGAAGGATCTTTTTGTAACTTGCCCAGAATCCACAGCAAGAAGTTATGGAGATGAAGGACCTGACTGGATTGCAGTTTTGTGTTTCTATGTGTGTACTTGCCTGTTTGCATATTGCTTTTTTTTTCTTTAAGGTTTATCTGTTTCGAAGGGCAGATTTAGACAGAAGTAGAGACAAAAAGATGGTTCACTCCTTAAAAGACCACAACAGCCAGAGCCGAGTCAGTCTGAACCCAGGAGCCAGGAGCTTCTTTGGGGTCTCCCACATGGGTGCAGGGTCCCAAGGCTTTGGATCATTCTCAACTGTTTTCCTAGGCCACAAGCAGAGAACTGGATGGGAAATGGAGCAGCTGGGACTCAAACCTACACCCATTTGGGATCCCAGTATGTGCAAGGCGAGGATTTAGTCGGTAGGCTACTGTACCAGGCCAGGAGTTTTGTTTTCAAAAGATGAAACTTGCTTGAAGTAATAGAAGTTGGAAACAAGGAGTGTGCTTCTAAGCTGATAAATACACAGACAGTTTATCTAGAATGTTCCACTTTCATATTTTAGTGACTAAAAAAAAAAATGGGAGGAGATGGAGGGATCAAGAGAGGGAAAAGAAGGAGAGACATGATTGGACCCAGAGAGAGATTTGAGGGGAGAGAGGGGACAAAATGGAGGGAACAGGAAACACAAGCAGATATACATGGTAGGGTCTGAGCACTCATCCTATGGGAAGGCTATTTGCTCACTTGGCAATACACTTCAGAGAGACACGTCCCCTCCGAGTTCTACTTTCAGTCCCCACTTCCTTCCTTTAGGAGAGCCAATGCAGCCCTCCAATGATGTGTCAGAAGATGGCCTCTTCACCATGACTTCGTAGGATACCAAAATGAAGAAAGAAGAAACAGAAGTTGGGTGGCCTTGGTAGGCTAGCAGAGCTATACAGCAAGAAGGTAGTGGGAAGTTCAGCTCCTGGCTTCCTTCTGCTGCGCTCTCACTGATTTCTTTGCGGTCGATCTCCTATTTTTATGGGCCTCAAAACTTTCCTCTGGACCAGGATAGTGAGACACCTTCCACCTCTCTAGTGGGCTAATTGAAACGT